ATATATATATATATATATATATATATATATATTCCTTTCAAAGTTATTAATTTTTTGTATTTGCTCCTCTAAACTTAAGTTTGATACATACATACATATATTATAAAACTAAAAAATGTTCATATATGCCATTGTAGTTAATTGTAACATTGATAGAATCGCTTTTGATATTGTAATTAACATTAATACCACATTCAAATATGTTAAGAAACATGAGGGATAAAATAATTGGTGAAAATAATAAATGGCAGTTTAGGTATTTACAATTTTAATGTTGTTTAATTTAGTGACAAGTGATGACCATGATTAGTAGTAATTATATACATGTAATATTAAAGTATGGGGTAAATATGCCAGTTCCAAACTTTTGTTCATTCTGCTGTTGTTATGATTTCACACATTTCTTTGTATCAATAGGATGAATAAAGAAAACTTGATTCCAAAAATCTATTTTTGTCTATTCTCTTCTATATATATTTTTTTTATTTTTTGTTTTTCATTTATTGATGGCCTGGTTTAACACTATCTATCACAGTGAGAACAATTAAGTCATTGCTTGGAAATGAGAGGATCAAATCAATGCACAAAACAGACTTCAACACTTTGCCTACAACCACAACCACCTTCTCCTTGCCATCCCTGTAAACTCTTCCTATTGCAAGATGATCATGTTGGCCAATAGTTGAACATAGTCTAGTATGAAGGAGAACCAGTTAACAGCAAGCATAGAGATATCAACAAACATTACTACCACACCAAAGTAAATAAGCAGCTCAAATCCATCAATTCTATTCTCACTCTAACGTTTCTAGATAAACAGAAAACATTAAACTAAAGCGGTTTCGTCAGTGAAGAAAGGTGCACCAGACTTATTAATATGAGCAGCTGTCAAGTAGATCAGTACCACCATAACAACATTATAGAAAGGAGAAAATAATTAAAAAGAACAAAATAAGAACATCAAGGCAGCAAGACATTTTACATTCACAAATGGAGTTACCCACAAGACAACCAGAAACATCCACAGAAAGTTCCGAATCTTTGACGATGCTAATGCAGTCACAGTCTGTTTTTCACACGGCGTTTTACATGCTTTTATAATCTAAAGCATTGTCATGAGATAATTTTTTCTGACTTTTTAAGTCATCCAGCATTTAGTCCATCCATGCAGCAGAAAAAAGAAGAAGAAAAATCCACCCATTTAGGTGAGCAATACTGTTTAAGCAGGTATGCAACACAATTTCTGTTGTCATAAGGATGGAACCAATAATGAAAATTTCAGGTACCACTTTCTTTCTGTTGACAACATCAGGAAAGTAGGGACTCTCTGATGTCAAACTGCAAGTATTGCACATCTATATATAGCACTATGAAACCTGAGCAAAGACGTGAGATTCACATCAAATAGTAGTTTCCTCTGTCACAATCTGACAATCTGAAAATATTGTCACATCTATATATCCTAATACGATCTCTTTTGACGCAACTTGATCAAGTTTGGAAATTCATAGTCAACCTAATAAAGTGTGAACCAGCATCTATACTAGTCAATCATTGGCTATTTATCGATTCTAATTATTCAGCAAATCTCCTATAATCTTGAATAATTGAGAGATATGCTTCACAAGTCAAGAGTACAGTTCACAGTGTGGGGTTAATTTGTAGGACAAAACATAGACCACAATATGGTAGGCCTAACATGTCAATTGGTAAGACAAGGTAGTATCAAGTGTGTTAGCGACCTCAAGCAGTGTTGTTGGAAAGTCAGTCTGTGCAAACTAGGAACAACAACCAGGTGGTGTTATGCAAAAACACTTGCTCTACCTCCAGCTTGCTTAGGTACAGCTACACCCAGATGAGAGTGGGCAGGACTGGAGGAGGAAGTGGAAACGGTGGCAAAGGGAGGGAGATGAAGAGAAAGAAATAAAAGAAGAAACAAAAAAATAAAGAATGAAAAGAAATAAGAAAATTGAGCCAAATCAGTCTTTGAATTGACCATAGTATTCGAGACATGCCAGCAAATTTCTGTCATGTTCTATTGACAAAGAAGAGTTATACAACTTGAAAATTCAAACCAATAATATCTGTACTAAATGCTTTCCAATGCTGACAGAACAAATAAATGAAAATATAATGAAAGACAGAAGGCACTATTGCCCCCATGTCAACTAAAGTGCATCATTCTATATTAAATGAGCTCCACAAATCACGCAAAGAAGCATAATAACAAAAATGCTAAGTCTCAAATGTACAAGAATCCTGACCAAAATTAACAGACTCATATCAGTAGCCCAAATATTAACAGCTACAAGAATCCTAACCAAAAGCACCTTCATATATGCACAGGATAATGTACAAACAATCCTTCCTCCAAAAACTGTACATTTGAATTCACATCCTCCTCATTGACAAACTCAGGCATAACAACATAGCATAAAATGAGAGGAATCATAAAAATGGCAATTGTATCACAGTAAATTGTTGGAGGGTGTTACAGTAGTACCTCACAGTTGCATCACAATAAGGTAACCAAATGAACAAAATCATGCAACCAGCTCGAGAGCTCCGAGTCATCTGAGGCCATTGAGACAATCCTCCAAATCTCTTGCTCCAAACTGCCGCCCTATCAATTCTCCATCTTTACATCTTGCTGCAAAGTAGAATACCAACCAAACAGCCATGAAGTAAACCTCTGCAAGTGAAAGAAAAGCTGCTGCAAACAACTTCCACCCAACCATCGCCGCCATCCATGTCCCCAGATAACCCCAAACCAGTGCTTCCAAGAATTTGATCGAAATGGCCTGCGTCGGCATGAGGGACATCAAATAGAACCCCTCTTTCACCACATCCTGGCCTCGTCGCCGCAAATCATGGTCCATTATGACCACCCATGGGACTACAGCAAACACAAGAGACACTACTGTGTCAACCATAGCCCAGGCAAAGAAGAACCCCGAGAGAACCTCATCGGCCGGCCCGGGCCACGGGTTCACTGGCGAGAGGGAGAAAGGCATCAACTTGACCTTGACGAAGAGTTTGAAGAGAACATTCTGATCTCGGACATCGGCAAAGAACCAGATGCACAAGAACTGGATCAGAGCGTCCCTCGCGGCCCATCTCAAGAACACGAATCCCGTGAGCCGTCGCATCCCCAACCGAGCACCCGAGTAGATGGTCTCTATGACAGAGACCGGCTTCCGTAGATGGAAGGCTGTAATCGAGAAGAAGACGACACCGAGGGCGGAGGTGTAGGCGACGATGAAGCCCAGGATGGCGAGGGCGTGGGTGGAGGAGAGGAGGGTGAGAAGGTAAAGGATCGCTGTGGTGTCTTGAGGGTCGAGGTCAAATCCCCGCCCGAGGATCCGCAGATCGGGGGACCGATTTCGATCTCCCTCGACGCCAATAGCATCAGCTGCATCGGGGAAGGAGAAGACGAAGGGCGAGGAGGGGGCATAGTCGGGAACCCTAATTTTGAGGGGCTTGGCGGAACTCTGGCGGCCCACGGCGCCGCCGTCGTGGAGGAAGAGGGCGGGGAGGGTGGCGTTGAGGGCAGCGGAGCGGCGGCGATCGGCGGTGGCAGAGGAGGAGGAGTCGGAAAAGAGGCCATCGTCGTCGAGGGTGCCGAGGCGGGTGAGGTGAAGCAAAGGGGGGCGGCGGCGCGCGGCGGGAGGAGGAGGGGAGAGAGGGGAAGCGTGAGAGGAGGAGAGGCGGCGGAGGAGAGAGCCGACAGCGGGGTCGCGGTCGGGGAGGGAGGAGAGACGGAGGGTGCCGGCGAGGAGGGCGGAGCGGAAGGAGAGAAGGAGGAGGGCGGCGAGGAGGAGGGCGGGGGCGGATAGGAGGGAGGAGAGGGAGCGGCCGAGCATGGGAGCGGCGGCGTGGTGGTGGAGCCGCAGCGGAGGGTGAGGAAGCGCCATGGGACGTCGTCGGCCGATGGATGCTTGCCTTCTCTTCGGCCTCGGTTTGTTGTGCTTATCTTGTCCTTTTGCTACTTGGCTCGCTGAGTTCGGACTCGGATCGATTTGTCATTTAACATCACATCATATATATATATATAATTAAATTATCAATAGTTAAAAGTCAGTTAACTATAATTAAATTATCAACTTGATAAGTTCAAAAGATTGGCTCGAAATGAGTTTACTTTTGTAGCTAAGTTTACACAGCTGCTATGATTGTGGAGAATGTATTCCTTGGAGCACTGTGTATAACATCTTATTTCGTAACTATAAGGAGGATTTGGAGAAGAACTACTCCTTCGATCACCTCTCTTCTTAGCACATGGGGAGTGGAACGCCATTCCATTCCTTCAAGCACTCAAGAAGGGGATCAATCACCAATCCTCTGTCGATAGCCACAAACACCTTGTCGAACTCCTCTCCCGGCGACCGCACCTTCTCGCCCGTGAGGTATTCGGTGCCGAGCTCCTCCCTGACGAACCGATACAATGGGTATGACCTGCACTCCTTGATCCTGTTGACCATGGCCGGATTGCCGCTCTCCACCGCAGCTCTCGCCGCCTCCGCTTCCTTGGGCAGGACGGCCTTCAGCTCCTCCTCGAACGCGGTGATCTTTTGGAAGACGGAGGTGGTCTCGTCCTTCTCTTTCTCGCCGTTGTTCAATGCGTGCTCCACGAGGGCCATCCTCAGCTTGGGCATCAGAGCGTACGTCGAGCTGCAGGGGTCGTCGATGTAGCCGAAGATGTGCTCCCGGTCGGCGACAGTGATCAGATTCTTCTCGCAGAAAGCGCCCGTAGTCAGGACCCTCTTGGCGACTTGGCTCACCGTGTTCTTGACGGCGTTCTTGAGATTCTCCTCCAGGTGACGCAGATCGATCGCTTGGCAGAGCGCAAGCAGGTAGGTGGCGGACATGAGCTTCAGGATGTCGACGGCCTCCGCCGCCTTCCTCGAGGAGATGAATCCTAAGGAGTTGACGTCTTGGTTGTGCTGCTCGGCGCTCTGGACGTGGTTGGTCACGGGGTTGGCGAGAAACTGGAGCTCGGAGCAGTAGGCGGCCATGGCGATCTCGGCGCCCTTGAAACCGTAGTCCAAGCTCGGGTTGCGCCCGCCGGAGAGGTTGGATGGCAGCCCGTTGTTGTACAAGTCGTTGACGAGCTCGGAGAACTGCGCGAACATAAGCTTCCCCACGGCCGCGAGCGCCAGGCGGGCGTTGTCCATGGACACGCCGATGGGCGTGCCCTGGAAATTGCCGCCATAGATGGTCTTGTTCCTGGCGACGTCGATGAGAGGGTTGTCGTTGACGGAGTTGATCTCCCGCTCGATGGACTTAGTGGAGGAGCGGATGACCTCGATCTGTGGGCCGAGCCACTGCGGCGAGGTGCGCAGGGCGTAGCGGTCCTTTTTCGGCTTTTGCAGGGGGTCTTGCTCGTGCAGCTTCTTGGCCATCTTCATGTAGGAACTGCCGTCGAGTATGTGCTCCATGATGGCGGCGGCCTCGATCTGGCCCGGGTGGTGCTTCAGTCTGTGGGTAAGGTGATCGGTAAACTCCGGGTTCCCCTGCATCACCTCGCAGAAGACTGCCGACAGGACCTCGGCGAGGAGGGCGAGGACGTTGGCCTCGTAGAGGACGACCGACGCGAGGCCGGAGCCGACAGTGGTGCCATTGACGAGCGCAAGGCCCTCCTTGGGCTGCAGCTCGAAGAACTCGTGGGGGATTCCAGCACGGCGGAAGGCCTCCGCGGCGTCCATGGTCTCGCCGGCGGGGTCGCAGGCCTTCGCGTTGGGGCGGCCGGTCAGCACGCCGGCGATGTAGGACAAGGGGACGAGGTCGCCGGAGGCGGTGATGGTGCCGCGCAGCGGAAGGCAGGGGGTGATGCCGGAGTTGAGGAGGCTGGCCATGGCCTCGAGGATCTCGAACCGGATGCCAGAGTAGCCCTGGAGGAGGGTGTTGATGCGAACGAGCATGGCGGCCCTGGTGGCCGATGGCGGCAGCGTGTGGCCGGACTCCGCCCCGGAGCCGAATATTCCGACATTAAGGAATCTGCATCAGGGAGAATCTTGGTCTCAATTGCAAGACAATGACAGCGAGAGAGAGAGAGAGATATGATATCAAATCACCTGATGAGTTCCTTCTGCAGGGCTCCTCCTTCCTTGGTCCTCCGGTGAGAAGCTGCGCCAAACCCTGCGGTCATTCCATTGCTATTGGTCCCCTTGGCCGTGCTGTCCACCACCCACCGGCTACTCGCGCACACCTCATCCCTCGCTGACTCCGACAGCTCCACCCGCACCGCCGAGTGCGCCCCGGCCGCGATCGCTGCCACCTGGGAGATCCTAAGCGTCGAGCCTTCGAGTTTCACCAGTGGCTGCCGGAACTCCCACGTCATCCTCCTGACCTCGTCGAGGTGACTTCCCGCCAGCGCCTCAGCGGCTGCAGCCCAGTTCAGCGGGTCTGTCTCGACGCGGAGGCCGCCGGCAGCGCCGTTTTCGACCTCCATCGGTGGGAGAAGAGTGGGTGCAAACTGGAAGGGGGGAGGGGTGGGGGTCCTAAATAGAGGGACGTGGTGGCGGGAACACGGACAGGTGGGGTTATTGGAATGCATTCTCGACCGTCGGATCGAGATTGGACGGTTAAAGATCAGGTCACATTCAATCGTCAAAAGGGGTTGAATACTCCAAATCAGTTGCTACAATTACTTGTCTCTCAATCCCTAAGTGGTTCTTTTCTGCATTAGTAATCAGCTAATCCATGAAAATATAATAAAATAATAATTTTAAATAGATATTATCTTCTCTTCACCACTGTATTGTTTAATTTCGATTGCTAAAATCTAAGAACCAAAATCATCATCGAGTCTGCTTCTAGCTTGGGAACAAAAAATAAAAAATAAAAAAACAACCTAAAGGAGAATTATTTTTTTATGATGAAAGATGAACCAAATTCATCTTGTGTTGCATCTCTTGTACCAATAAATAAAAGGGTAGCCGGTCACACCTACCCAATTATTTATGATCCACGACCCAAACTTGTGTAAGTATTCATGGCTTGGCTTGAGAAGATTTCCACCTACCAGGCTTGGATCAGTTCAAGACAGACAAAATTGAATGCTGGTTCCGAATTCCAACAATGGGAGTTTGGCGTGGAAAGCTCTTCACCAGCCATGCCACCTACCAATCTTGTGAGTCTGGGCGCTTGAAGAGGCGTAGGGAGAAACTGAAGTGAAAAAAGGAGAGAAGGTTCAAGCAGTGTAAGGACTCTTTCTGCACTTTGAGGCTGACTACCACCTTGAAATGTTCTCATCAGATCACAACACATGTTTATTCTCTTGTATTAACCTTTGAATGGACTTTGATCTTCTCTGGATTATTTTCTTTTGCACATGTGTTGAATTGGTCATTGACTAAAAGAGCAAGCATTTATTTGGGAACTAGTGAAGATTTTGAGTCCTATTCAAGATCTTGTCATCCATGGAAAACAAGTGGAAAGAAACCCCAAACATCGTAAACAGTATGCCAATTTGCTTTGAATTATATAGAATATTGCAAACAAGGAAACACAGATGTTAGCTGGGAAGTTTCTTCTGTACACTAAAACTTGGTGTTTGAAGTCTCAGCTCAAGTCCTTTGACTCAGTTTTACACAAGACCAGTTACAATACCCAGGAATCTTTTGTTTAACTCTTTGCTACTTGAACCCTTCATAATATCTCAATTTTCATAACAATGATTATGAAAACAAGTTATTAGTAGTACATCCATCATATATCAAATCTAAATTGTCTGATTTTGAGAGTGGAACCTCCACTGGGCTGTTGCAGTGTTGGATAGCCAGTTGCTAAAGTCGATCATATACATTAGATAATTAACATGATCCTTTTTGGGATTAGAAATAAGAGATTTGTGTATGCAGTTCCTTTTTGTTTGGGAAAAACAAACTATGAAATGATAAGCAGCAGGGGCAAATCATTTGCCATTGTGTTTCTGCATCAGACCACAAATTATTGGAACACCAGATTATTGATCTTGTGATGCATCACTGGAGCAGTTGGCAGCAATTTTCAGCTGCCATCAGGTGGTCACACCTACCCATTTGTTTGTGAAGCATTATCCAAACTTAATGCCAGTCCAAACTTGTGCAAAATATTTATGCCTTGGAGAAATTCTTTCAGGGGGAAGAAAAGGAGAGGGGGTTCCACTCTTTCTTCCCCACTTCATATGTGACCAAACATTTAGCTCTTACCATCCCAACACTAGAAATATAAAATTTTAAACAGGAGTGGCTGGCAATATCTTGTTGCTTGGTCACACCCTCACCCTCCCATTTGTGTCATTTTCAGTTGTGGTTGTCCAAACTTAAATACTTCAACCCTGATTAATGATAATAGACTCATTCTAGCTCCACAAACATGGACATCCATATCCAATAAAGGACTATCACCTAGGTGTTACAATCTTCTCACGTAAGACT